TCTCATTTCTTTTATAATAATTTATTAAGTAGTCATTGGTACATAAAACAGGTACATAATTTAATTCACGTCTGTACAAGTTTTTGGCGCTAAAATCCAGCCGAATACTTTTGCCTAATATTCGGCTATTCGGTCAGGGGCCTCGCCGAATATTCGGTATTCGGTATACTGCCGAATATACTATTCGTTGCAAGTCTAGTTATTATAGTTCTATAATCATGTTCCCGCCCCAAATGATTTAAGAGTCTGTCTGATGAAAAATATACCTACTTCATTTGTTTTTTTTTTGGGGTTTAAGCTCCGTTTACCTCACTCATTCGGTTCAAAGCACTGAAAGCTTTCCTTAACATTTGCTTCCTGTGATGTCGTGGTATCACTCCGGTCGAGCCTGTCCTATATTTGCCAAACTATGGCTCCCCAACCAACCCACCCGTCTGTCCAGCATGGTATAGTAGGCCAAAACCTTCTTTCTAAGTAGAGGCCTATGTCCAGCAGTGGACTAGTAAACGCTGTTGATGGCTCTCCTACGGTAGGGCTGCTGTATTTTCTCATCACCTATAAAGTCGACTGGTTGAAAATGCCTTAGGCGTTACGTATACCTCAGATATGCAAAAAACTTTAAATAATTAGTATATTATTATATTAGTATTACGTATAAAACACTTCATGATGAATTCAACGACGTGATGACTAATAAATGTCAACTTTATATAGATTTACGCGTACGCTGACGGTATATCGACTTGGCTATTGTCACCAGCGACGCATACGAGGAATTATAATGGGGACCTGACTCATACCTGTCTTACTCAATGGTTTAGAACGTAAGCGTTATCCATGGGTTCTTCCTAGATCTTTGTGACACACGTTTCTTGACAAATTCGAATTGTCAATGAAAATGTCAATCAAAGAATGTATTATTCAGATATTATTTCGATAAAATCTCCAGCAAAAGATTAATCTATAATCTAAATTAATTGTACTCATCAATCATCATCATCATCAACAGCCTTGAATAATCCACTGCTGGATATAGGCCTCTCCTTAGAAAGGAGGTTTTGGCCTACTACTCGTATACCACGCTGGCCAGACGAGTTGGTATAGGGTTTGTTTCAAGTTTTCCTTCTCTTTGCCGCTGTTGTCCTGCGTAGTTTGTCCCCTTAGTCGGCTTTTACGACACCCAGGGGATGAATAGGGGTGGTGACATTCCGTATTCTTAATCCGTCACCACACGGACGTACTCACCAAGACAAAACAAATGAGTTAGGAAGTTCCTAGGGCCTTCTTCCAGCTCCATCATCTGAACAGCTTTATGGTACCATATTAATGTATTGTCAGTGAATATACAAAATATATGTACACTAAGTTTGAGGCTAATCGAACATCGGAATATGGTTCTAGTTCAGTTTCCAAGATTTGTGCAGGACCCGATACATACAAACATTGCAAGTTAAATTAAAGCTTGTAATAATGCATACCAGTCTTTAAAATTATAATAATAGTAATAATTTACACATCTCACACACGCCTGTCTGATTCCAAACTAGGCAGAGCCTGTGCTATGGTAACCAGACTGCTGATAAACATACTTGTGGGAATCGAACCCGCGACCTCAGGTTTAGCAGTCAGGGTCACTAACCACTAGACCAACAGACCCGTCCGGTACCGTTACCGGTATTGAAGCACAACAAACACGCAATTAAATTACGTTTGCACGGATGGCGTAATTGTTTAACCGGTCTCCACGCCGCTTACTACTATGCTGAGTGTTGTGGGTTCGATCCTCACATGACAACACTTATGTGATTCACAAATTGTTGTTCTAAGTTTGGGTGTTCTTTGTGTCCGTTTCATGTATGTTTGGAAAATTATATATGTCATCTTTGCTTTGACATATATAATAATAAATATACATTGCATTGAAATTACCTAATTGCACCGACTTTAAATATTACATCTTCCAAGTCTAAATTGTATTACAACTTGCTGAGTATTTTAAAATTGGATTTGTGTTTATTACAATCAATCATCCATAGCTGTCGGTTCATTCTTTCAAACAAAACAAACTCTTACTTACCTCTGATTTGATTCGAACTCGATTTGAATAGTTTTTGTTCAACACAATATCATTCAATCTACAAGATAAAAATCACTATTTATTTATCACGACTATCATAAACAATCTTCGAAAGACACATGTCAGAGTTTTTTCTCTTCATAAAAAGTAGTTGTAAATATGTTACACCAGTAGGTGGTTAAGTGCGCCTACCATTGTACCCTTGTCATCACATCTGCATACAAAGGGTTAAATCTAACGGAGGTCTGTTAGACCCGATGACAGTAGCTTATTGTTTCGTTAACGGTGGTAGTTTTTGCTTCAGAACTGGATTAGTTCAATTCAAATAATGTTACGACTGCTATTTGATGTAACGGGTTTGAATGCGGTTTGTTAATATAATGATACAGGTACAGACAACGTATTTTAAAAAATGTCGAATGGTGGATATCGATATCGCAAGATCTATTTTTTTAGTCTATGATTGCATCAATTTGAAAACAAAAGGAAGCCAGATAATAAAAGATTATTAAACAGCTGCTTTTTTGGTATTTGGATAGGACTTTTTTGTTAGTTTTTAGGCCCAGGTAAACATTATGTATGGCGAGGCCCTCTATGTGTTCCACTATTTTATTTGAAAAAAAACTAACAAAAGCAGAAGAAATCAGACTATCGTCTGATTATAGCAATAAAAAAAATGATATTAAAAGGTATGCAAAGATCATTTCCACTATAAATTCTTTCAGTAGTGTTTAGTTTTTCTATTTAATTTAGTTCTTCTATTACGTTTAGCTTTTAGGTTAGCCTTCTACACACAAGCTTAAAGTATTCCGACTATCTTTCTTTACTTATTATTGTATAGATTTACTTCATCATCAACAGCCATTAATAGTCCACTGCTGGACATAGTCCTCTCTTTAGAGAGATTTACTTAATACAGGTATATTTATATGTTAATAGTTTAAAACGGAAATAGAACTGTAATGTTAAAGAGATACGATACCTTTTTGTTTATATCCTAGCGACACGTTTTGATTAAATTGCACTGATTAATATATGGGTAGGGGTGAACTCACCTCATGGCGTCTCAATGTTTTAAGACTATTTTATTTAATGTTAATTATTTACAGTTAGTCAGATGATGTCATTATTTCAAGCTATGTAACTATTGTAATTACTGACGAGTCTTGATTTAATGTTAATAGAACCTGTTCTAGGAGGTATTTTTATCTCATTACTTAATAGTTATGCCAAGATAGTATACTTTTCATTTAAATTGCATGGTATAATATGTAAAACCGGCCAGGTACGTATCGAGGAACATGCAATGTAGGGTTCCGTTTTTAACTCTTTAATTTATAAACTCCACTTAGCTGTGATACTTTTTCTTTTAACATTAATATATATATTATTGTGATAACTTTTTTGGTGTATCCAAAAACATCTAAGGGGGTACAATTGACTCTACCATAAATTATCACTTTAAAACTTAATATGTCGCAAACGGATTTCTGAATCGAAAAATGGTGTTCATGTACATAAAATTCTTACACAATAGAATAGAAGAGAAAAACAATCATATCGACTAAACGTGTAGGAATAGTACACTCACACTGGTACAAAAACATGGCGAAACTATGTGGGGTTCCTTAGTGACTACGGCACCCTAAAAACGGGACGTTCAAATAAATAATATTGCACCTCTAGTCATGAATAATAAAACTTAAAGAAAACGTAGAATAAAATATTTACGCACATGAATATATCATGACTATTGCTGATTAACGTAGAGTTTTTAGCTTGCTATTGTGAATGATATATTGACTACAACCTGTCTCTGACTTCGTCTCCCATAGACAAGAAATGTTATGAATGCCAGACAGGTATTGAGATGATGCTAAAACTCGCATACCTAACAGATAATAATAAATTTCTTTGTGTCATTTGTTTAGAATATATAACGTGGTATTATTTATTACAAGCCTTAACCAGCGGATTTCCTTGCGTTAATGTAGTTTTGATTTATGGTATAGGGACAGGGGCAGACGAGCAGGCGGGTTACCTGATGGTCGATGCGGGGGGACCTGAAATAACATGGTCCGGGTCCTCCTCGGAGGAGGGCGCCTGAGTCCGGCAGTCGGTGTGGGTTTTAGTGGAACACTACATACTCCTGGCTCCTGAGTCCCCGAGGAGAAGGAGATCTGAAGAGATTTTTCACACCGTAAACAAAAAAAAAGTGAGTAAGTGCCGCCCATGGACACATGCCACTCAAAAGGCACAAGTGTGCCGCCCATCGGATGCCCTGTCTCCGTGAGAGGGGGGAGGGGGAAGGGGTTGGGATTCAATAACCTCACTCACTCGGTGAAAATCAACGAAGCAAATACTTAACACCGGTTTTATGTTAGGCCGTGTATACCACCGTGCTCTGGTCGAGCAAAGCACGGCTCTCCTCCTCTCCTCAAGCAGAGTTTGTCAATAAACTCACAAACTCACAGACATAATCAAGCTGTTCTGGCTCTAGTCATAGATCAGGGTTTTACATTCACGTAAATTGTTTTCCAGTTTCAAATCAAATAAACATTATTTACAACAAAATTCCAAATTTAACTTTTGTTGCCAATTTCAATGCTCACCTATTAGGTCTCAATTATATTATGAGATTCTAATTATTATACTCCGGCTTCATAACCATTAAGAAATAATTATATAAGCCAGTTAAAGGCCCGCAGCGCAACTTCGCGCGTTTATGATGGCACCACCAAATTTTTTTTCTGACAAATTTTACTCATATGCGGCCTTTGCCACCTGGCGCCTTATTTTTATAGTGACCGCACCTTTTCGTTCTACCTAAAACCAGAGGCTGATATTACTTATAACAATATTATCATGATCGATTCTTACAGTTTTTTCTGTTTCTTTAATCAGATTTAATTCTTTGTTGCAGTAACAAGCCGACAATGTGACAGACCTGCGGTAGTTGCCCGCCGATACGTCCTCCATCTTGAATTTACCATAGACAACTGTTACCAGGTGGGTGAAGGTAACATAAACATTAAAACTTTTTTAAAATTGTTTACTTTAAAGTAGTTTTTAAAAAGCAATCTGTGATTTAATTTAAAAAATCGAATCTTTTGATCAGGTTTATACCAAATTATAATTCCTGATAGCGGTTTTGTAACCTTTGCTTTGACATCTAACAAGGACAGCAAGGAAATTAAAAAACAAAATACTTAAATTTAAATATAGTACTAAAGATGTTCTTCTCTCGAGAACCAGTTGTCACCGAAATATTTGTTTAATCTACAATGTTACTTGCTAGACACACTATTTATTTAAAGTCCATTTAAATAAAATACTCTTAAATAGTTTTCTAAGTAAATATACGTAAAGGAATCAATAAGGATATAACGTAGTTATGATTTTCTTATAAAATATAAGAAATTTGTTGTAAAATATAATGTTAATCCTAGTTTGAATGTACCAAATGAGACGGAGACGTTTATTAAACTTTTTATAGTTTAAGATCTGAGATAGTAATTGTGTTCACCGTAACAAAAAGTACGAAAAGTCTAGAAAAAGTTTTTATCCACACAATGAATATGTGAGCCGAGATAAGTAAGGAGGATTTAAAAATAACTTAAATATTTTATTTATCTATGATCATCTTTGAATTTGATAAACTTGATTCAGGCGTCTATTTGAAATAAATGACGTCATACACACAACTGACTAAATTATTTATTATTCTAAATTCAAACCACTTTAATTTGTTGGATCACATAAGTAGCATTTTTTTTGCGAGCACGATCATATATATTGCGGTTGGAAAATTGGATTTCCATTGGCATGGACGAGTTTTTTAGGACTGCAAAATTAAGGTAGTTCTTTTGCAAGAACGGGCCAAAATCATTGACGATCGATTGCTGAAATGGACAAAACGTCTAAATTTTTTTGTGCTATAGGGGGGCAAATGAGCAGGCCGTGCACCTGATGGTAAGTGACTACCGCCGCCTATGGACCCCTGCAACTCAAGAGTCACAAGTGCGTTGCCACCCTTTGAATTTCTCCCCCAGAATCAAGGGGAAGAACTCAAACTCTCTCTGTTTGGGCTCGCGTAACCTCACTCACTCTGCTAAAATCAACTTATGTAATACTGCTTAATAACTCGATGAAAAGCAATAAAAAACTGCTTAGCACCGGTTTTCTGTGAGGCCATGGTATGACTGCGGTAGAGGCCCATTTGTGCCGAAGCATGACTCTCCTACTGCAAAATCATCCAAGTTTGTTTGAAAGCCTCGAAAGTTTTCAGAATCTGAGTCCTTTAGGTCGAAAGATATCTTTATACAGTTCGAATTTTCAGCACCGAAAGCCAAGGATATTCGAGTTACACAACTATTATAACTTATTGTATTAATAATTTAAGGTAGCCTTAAGCTCAAAAATCTCATAATAAATGACGTTATCCGCCCATTTTATCACCTTTTAATCTAAAGGTGACTATACAGTTTTATACCTTGCCTTTAGGGCAATGAACATGGAATAAAATACGGTTAATCAAAATAAATATTTTGTACAATGTAACAACTTTTGTAAGCACGAACGACGGCGTACCTAATTTTTATATTTTGTATTTTTTTTTAAAGTGTTCCTAATTCAAATCTTTTACCTATTAAGTAGTAGCTGTAGAAGTTTCATTTTTTATGTGCAACATAATATTACCTGTCACATTTCTGCAGTTAGTGGAAAACAGACGAAAGAGTGTCAGAGGGAGCCGACATCCTCTCATTGATCAAATCAAATCGGTATTTCCCTTCCACAACCTTCAAGAAAACAAACCTTCCTCAAAGGTCAGCAACGTGACTCCTGATCTGCATTTATGGGCGGCGGTAGTCACTTTCCATCAGGTGATGCGTCTGCTTATTTGCCTTCTATATTATAAAAAAAATTGTGTACAGATTTCACGATTATGAGCATTAAAATTAAAAACAAACAAAACATGAACTTAACATCAAACAACTAAGATGAACATCCCCAGCAAAGCATTGTGTTATTCTAATGGCGTTATACATTTTCATTAGTTCCTGTAAAAGTTTATTAACTAACTTGCAATATCAATAATATCGCCTTAGTATCTATAAAAGTACGTCTAAATAAACATGTATCCACACAATCGCAGATCCACTCCATAATTAACAGGCCAATTATAATAATCCTTATCCTTTTTCGCTTACGGCGAGAACCTAATAATATCCTCGTCCTTACATCTGCAGTTAACTGTCACCCCATAATAGTTCTTATGCCATTACAATAAGATCTATAGGTTAGATGTGTATCTTGAGTTTTAACAAGCGGTCACGGCTAGGTATCTTTGATCGGCTCGTTAGCTACGACACCTCAATAGGAATGCGAAGATGCGTAAGATTGTCCTCAGGATATATCCTAGAATAATGTTTCTCAAACTATTAGGCAGCCACAACTGATAACTTTCTAGACCCCACAAGATTTACTCAATCAAAGTTATTTTTTTTATTAAAAACATTAAAAAAAAGGTTGAAATTATGAAAAATGAAAAGTGATACCTGTTTTTAGTTGGTTGTATTTAATTATAGCAACTGTACAGAAAGACAACACAATAAAGATATTTTAACAGAAAGCGACTCTTACCATTGTATAATTTAGTGTAAATTTTATTCATAAAATAATTATGTATATACACGACTATATAAATATAATGTACTAGCACTAGCTAAGGGATGCTGTCACGTATTGAAAACCACATGAAAGTTATCTTTTTATTTTAAAGGCGAATCGTGAATTGTGCTCAAAATACAAGGATATCACTCGATGGCTATGTAGGTAATTGCCGTAATAATATAACAAAACCGCAAGTGCATTGCAATTAACTCGTTTGAGACGCACCGAGATGAATGTCGGCGAGGATCAGAATGAAACAGGCTCGGAACTTTGTTACCATAACCTTGACATTAATTGCGGTGTATTTTAAGACAAGTAGTAAATCAATTTTGTGTAATTAGTACACGATATGCAGTAGTCAGTAGAATTATTAGGGATTCGTATAGAATTATTTTGTTTTACGACTCTTTTAAAAGGAGATTTATTTTCAGATAAGTAAAAACGTAGATTATAATAATATATCAATTGAAGCAATTTGGTACCAATTATCCTCGGACGTTTTCGTGTTATATGACAATAAATATAAGTTTTCTAAAGTTTTTGCGTGAGCCTGTTTTTTTACAGATATAAAATTACTTAATAATAATATTTAACTGTGTGTTTTTCAAACGACACCTTTTTTAAATCCCATTGTCAGTCATAAAAGAAAAATTGCCAAACATTAATAATGAATACTTCTCTTATTGTTTATTTTATATATGTCCTCAAGACCCCAGTCTGTTGAGATACTATGATGCTGCAATGTATTAAAGATAATGTATCTGTAGCGACTGGCCTTTCGGGGGAGACAATGTGAAAAGTAATGCTTTATATTGAAATATTTAAGTACGCTAAGGCTCGGCGGGTTCAATGTCTCCTATTCACTTGGAATATAGAGTGGGAACAACGTTATCATTGTATACAAAACATAGATCTTTAAGTGTATAATTTAGACTTCTGAATTAAGGACATGGAAAATCAAGTACATCATCTTCTTTTTCTGTGCCAAAAAAAAGCTTCTGTTCATGCAAAAGAAAAGTATTAGCCGAAATTTAAAAATAATTATATATACAAGAATAGAAGAATATTGGCGCATTGCCTTTTGCCAATCTTAATACGTTGCAGAATCATGCTTCGGCTTGACTGGAGTGATAACACGACCTCACAGAAAAACCAGTGTTAAGGACTTTTTTCCTTGTTTTTCATCGAGTGAGTAACCTGAGCCCAAAAGTGAAAAAAAAAGGTTTCGTGATAGGGGGGGATTCTTGATACATGCATCAACACTCACATGACATCACTTGTATCTCTTGATGCTTGATGATGCACACATCAAAACAATGTTGTGGTATATTTAATGATGCCATTGTTTGCCCTTTCTTCTCATAAGGCTCAATCCCTTGGAAATGGGCGATTATTTATCGGCACAGGCATATCATAGATTTTGTATAAGTATATTTTTTATTAAATTTATTTGGCTAACTATTCGACAAAATAGAGATTGTTGCTATTGTGTGTATTGATCATGACTTTTGAGTTTACATAAAAGAGGATTTCAAACAGTTTTAAATTTTTATTAAATAATGATATTTTAAGTTTGAGTTACACGTGTCCACAGGCTGCGCGGTGCCACAAGGTAATCTATATAATCTGAATCTAATCTAAAAAACTAAATGCACTAATAACTCTCACCTTCGTAGGCTGTTTACTTTGCCTACAAATTTATAAAGTACAATTAAGTTTTTATCGTAATGTATACAAATTAACTATGTTTTTTTAATTTGCTGTTTTCATTAAAAAACCGACCGCGTGGTGACGGATTAAGAATACAGAATGTCACCACATTTATCCCGTGGGTGTCGTAAGAGGCGACTAAGGGAGCAAACTACGTAGGACAACAACACTGCAAAGAGAAGGAAAACTTGACACTCACCCAATACCAACCCGTCTGGCCAGCGGGGTATAGTAGGCTAAAACCTTCTTTCTAAGGAGAGGCCTATGTCCAGTAGTAGACTATTAAAGGCCGTTGATGTGATATACATATTCAAAGTACTTTGAATATCTACAATAATATAATATATATATTACAACATTTTAAATTTTAAGTGATGCGTTTTTTAAAAGATAATACTACATTTCTCTTAAAAAACGTAAAGCATATGATAATGGTGGATTTTGAAATGTTTCTTTTACTAGGAAATATTTATTGAATAGTAAATATAAGTTAATATTTTGTAATATCTATTTGTCGTTGATTATCTTGGTTTATAAGATAAATTTTTGCGTGTCAATAAAAAATTACCACTCTCTATTACCACCTGTGTCTATTACTGCATGTTTCTAAATATCTAAATTTTGCG